CCTCACCTCATCATCATCATCCTCATCCTCCTCACTCTCCATCTTCTTCATCCCCACCCTCCTCACCCTCCTCATCCTCCTCACCCTCCTCATCCTCTCCCGCCTCCTTTGGATTCTCCCCGGTTTTTCCCCGGTTTTTTCCCGGTTTTTCCCCAATTTCTTCCCCGTTATTCCCGGTTATTTTTTCCCCGGTTTTTTTCCCCAATTCTCCCCCGTTATTCCCCATTATTCCCCCCGTTATTCCCGGTTTTTTCCCGGTTTTCCCCCCGTTATTCCCGGTGTTTCCCGGTTATTCCCCCCGTTATTCCCGGTTATTCCCGGTGTTTCCCGGTTAGTCCCCCCGTTATTCCCGGTTTTTCCCGTTATTCCCGGTTATTCCCGGTTATTCCCCCTGTTATTCCCGGTGTTTCCCGGTTATTCCCCCCGTTATTCCCGGTTATTCCCGGTTTTTCCCGTTTTTCCCGTTATTCCCGGTGTTTCCCGGTTATTCCCGGTTATTCCCCCCGGTTATTCCCGGTTTTCCCCCGGGTTATTCCCGGTTCCTCACGCTGCCCTCCACGTGCGAGGCCCAGCTGCTCCCGTAGGCCGCGGCCAGGCTGCTGACGGGCTCTGCCAGGAACGCGCCGGGAGCCGCGAACGGCGGCGCGGCCGGGCCCGGTGAGGATGAGGAGGCCGAAGGCGGCGGCGGCGGCGGCGGAGCCCCGAAGCCGCGGCCCGGGGAGGCCCCGGGAGCGCTCGTGTCCTCGAACAGCGGCCGCGGATCGGCCAAGCGAGCGGGCCCGCGGCGCTTCGGGGCTGCCAAAGGAACGGAAAAGCGAATTCGGGGCGGGCTCGGAGCGCGGGGCCCTCCCGGCACCGCCCGGGACTCACGGGCAGCGGCGGCGGCCATGGCGGCGGCGGCGGCGCTTCCGGGTCCCGCACCGGGAGTCACGCGGTAAGGACGGGAGGCTCTGATTGGCTCAGAGGCCGGAAGCTCTGCCCGCGGTTAAGATGGCGGCTGCGCCACGAGTAAAGATGGCGGACGGGGCGGTGCGATTGTTTCCGCGGCAACGGGAGGTTTCCGCCGCCTCCTGACCGCTCGGAGCGTCCCCACAATGTCCCCAAAGCGTCGCCGGTGCCGCTGAGGCCCCGGGGGGGGTCACGGGCTCCGGTAGGGCCCATAACGGCGGCGCGGCCAGCCGGCTACCGGGAGTCACGTGGTTTAAACGGGAGGCTCTGATTGGCTCAGAGAGCGGAAGTGGTTGGCGGGAACGGGAGCGCGCGCCCGGAGTTAAGATGGCGGCCGTGGCGCGCAGCGGTTGCCAATGGAAACGGGGCCTGTGCTCGGGCCTGGGGCCCGCCCGCGGCCGGGGAGTCCCGAAAGGGTCCCCAAAGGGTCCCCAAAGCGTCCCCAAAACGTCCCAAATGTTTCTCAAAAGGGTCCCCAAAGTGACCCTGAAGTGCCCCAAAAATGTCCCCAAAATATCCCGAAAGTGACTCCAAAGCGTCCCCAGAAGTGACTCCAAAAAATGTCCTGAAAAGTCTCCAAAATGTCCCAGAAGTGATCCCAAATCGATCCCAAATTGATCCCAAATTGATCCCAAATCGATCCCAAATCGATCCCAAATCGATCCCAAATCGATCCCAAATTGATCCCAAATTGATCCCAAAAATGCCTCTGGAAACGTCTCTGGAATGCCCCAAAATGACCCCCAAATATCCCAAAAATGTCCCCAAAGTTTCCCAAAAGTGACTCAAAAAATGTTCCCAAAAAATCCCAAAAATCCCCCCCCAAAATTTCCCCAAATCCCCCCCGAAAAATCCCACAAATTCCCCCCCAAAATCCCCCCAATCTCCCCAAATAAAACCCCAGAAAAAACCAAAATCCCCCCCCAAAAAACCCCAAAATCCCCCCAAAACATCCCCAGAATTCCCCAAAATCCCCCCCAAAAAATCCCCAAAATCCCCCCCCAAAAACCCCA